CAAACTCTAGGGGACAGCTCGGACGCTGCAGGTCCGGGAAACGGAAGATGCTCTGTCCACCAGCCTCGGAGGACCCCCTCTGTAGGTGCCCACCTCCCAGGCATACCCCGCGAGCAGCTTCGAGCCCCTCTCCCTCTCTCCTCTCTCTTGGAAGAGAACAGCCTGAACCTGTTCTCCCTGACGTGCTACAGGCACCGCCACTAACTATGCCACAGTTGATACCCGCCCGGCCCAGGCACCCAGGGGGGCAGCGTCACACAGAAGAGCGGGCACGAGGCACACGTTCCAATCCGCAGCTGTGTGACTCTGCACGCACAGCCTCCTCTGCCCAGGTCTCTGTCTCTCCATCTATAAAACAAGCGGCTGGCAGGGTGGTGCACACTGCCCCCCGCCTCTCTGCTGCGTCCGGTGTGCGCGGTGGCACCGGGAGGCCTGGAGCGACGGACATGCGCACAGGGACAACCAGCGAGGCGTCAGGGGCCCCGCCTCCCAAACGGCCAGTCGGGCCTCCGCACCCACGGGGCTGGTCCTGGCCACTGGGGGGGCCCTGCCCCTGCCCCACCCATGCACGCTTCTCCCTCCAGCCTGGGCTCCTCGCCTCCTTGCTCTTGATCTTCTTGACAAACATTTCCTTGGACCCACATTGATTTTCCTAATTTCATTTCTGTCCCAGCCACTTGGCAGCACGGATGCGGTTCTGGGCCATGATATATGTGGGGGCTTTTAAGCTATGCTCCTCTGTGGGGCTCCTGTTCCCAACTAGGTTTTAAATGCCACCAGAGCAGGGCTGGGTCTCCCTTGTATCCTCCACATACAAGGAAATTCTACGCACATTCGCTTGTCCATCCTCAGGCCCCAGTGAGTCACTGCACCTCACTGGCCTCATCTTCAACATTGTTGAAAGAACTCCAGATTTCAAGACAACATGAACAGACATGGTAGTGGCCCCAAAGGGTGAGCCACTCTGTGTCTTAGGTCATAGCAATCCACAGCCGCCACCTAGAAGAGAACCCCGGCTCCCCTTCCAGCTAGCTGTCCTTGGCACAGAAAATCTATTCAGTGAATTTTTCTTGGATAAATGACTGAATAAAATTAATATATAAAATGTGGACACTCCTTCTGGATAGCAGAGATGTGTCTGAGCTTCATGCATTTCAAAATCTGCTAGAACAAGACTCTTGGATGAAGATCTCCCAGTTCTAACCCATGTAGAAGTGATTTCCTTTTTTTCTGAGCACACAAGTAGCCTTGTGTGATGCTTGATCCCCAGTGGGTGGGCATTCAGCACATTTCTCAACCGAGCCAGCCACGTTTCATAGCTGAGATGATGTCATGCTAGAAATCCCCAAAATTTTTTAGAAGACCCCAAACAGGTCATGTGAGGAAGAGCTGAAAATCTGGGAATTTTCAATAAAGAGGAAAGACCCAAGAAACTGCAGCAGCTGCCTCAAGTGTTTGGGGCGCTGCTCAGAGCAGAGGGTGGAGACTCACCGCGTTTTGTGCCAAGCAACAGAACTCACCCCCGCAGCTGGACGCTTACGGTAGGCAAGTTCAGTCAAATGCAAGAAAGAACTGCGGACCGCTGGGGCTACCTCACACCCAGACAGTCTGCCCTGCGTGGTGAAGGGGAGAAGGGCCCTTCCTGGAGAAGAAATTAGACTGGCTGCCTAACTGTTAAGGCGCCTGCCAGGTCGAGCCTTGTATATTCTGTTAGATTAACTCTTAATTAGTTTTAGCTGTTATAAATTCTGCCTTATGGTTTATTACGTTTCTAGAAGCCTAGGGCGACAGCAAAATGTTTACACTCCCATTAGATCTACTGATTTGCCTATTGACTCTACTGTAAATTGGGTTGTAAATTCTACGTGAATGGCTTTGTCAGCTGTAAATAATAATATTTTGTTCTCCATCCTTTCAATAGCTATGTGTCTTATTTATTTTCCATGTTTATTTGATTGGCGCCAGTGTACATTAAGCAGTAGTCATGAAGGGGGCATTCTTGTGTTGTTCCCAGTATTACATGGAATTCTTAGAAATTTTTGCCATTTAAGCATATATTTGTTGGAGCCTTTAAAAAAAGGCTATTTTAATTTTTATCACAGATGTTTTGAAATTAAGTGACTTATTTCTACATCTATTGAGATAGTCACATTCTTTTATCATCATTGCATTATAGAGGTAAATAACATTAGTAAAATTGCTGATCTTTAACCATCCTTGTGTTGCTCAACTCGATCATGTTATATTATTTTTAATAAACTGTTGGATTCAGTAAGTTAAGATTTTTGCATTAAATTTGCTTTAAAACTCAAAAACCATACAGAACTATAGTTTACTGAATCATGGTTATACTAATCAAATACAATAAATTAAGCAGTCTCTCCTTTTTCAGTTTTCTGTAACAACTTTGTCAATTAAGGATTATCTATTGCCTGAATGTTTATTAGCACTCTGGTAAGTTTGAAGCTCTGATAAAGAGGGTGAGGGAGTCTTTTATGACTGTTTAAATCTCCTTAATGCCTAGTGGTTCATTCAATTATTTTGCCAATTTTGGCAGTCTTTGTTTTCTGGAGTTTATCCATTTTGTCTAAGTTTGTACCATGATTGGCATGTAATTCATAATATTCTTTTATTACTTTTAAAGATTTGTTGTGACTGTAGTCTTAACCCCTTCTTCACTCTGTATGTCATTTGCATCTTACTTTTTTATTGATCAGTTTTATCCACTTTTATCTACAGTCCTTTCAAAGCCAGCTTTTAGTTTTATCAATCTTTTTGCTGTTTTTAGATTGCTATTGCCTATTTAATTGCTTCTTATTCTCATTTTTTTTAGTTTATTTGGTTTATTCTCAATATTGTTTTCTAAGGACTATATTTAAAGCTATGAATTTAGCTCATAGTATATCTTTACCTATATCCCACAAATTTTAACCTGAATAGTGTCTATTGCTATTCAGGTCAGAGTAGTTTTAATCCCTGTAAAAATGTTCTCTTCAATCCAAGGATAATAGCTTGTAATTATTTTAGTTTTTGTTTTAGTACAGAATCCAAAGTCTATAGAATTAAAGTTAATAACATAGTGTGACTGGATTTCTAAAGCTTCCTTGATGACCTGGTATATCTGTGAATATTTCATTTGTCTGACAAGAATTGTTTTTTCCAATTCATTTTAAAACTCATCCTCTTTACCCACCCCACAAAGTGTTCAAAATTATAGATCACGTAAAATATATTTTTATAGAATTTATTTTTCATCTATCTGACCTACTAGTATCGAAGAGAAATAAGCCACTCATTTCATCCCAATATATAGTAGAGTTTAGCTTTCTGATTACCATAGTTGGCATATGGATTTTTCCTCATAGCTCCACCATTCTTGTTTTAACTATTTTGAGGTTATATGTTTAGGTTTATATGTTTTTACAATTATTTTAACATCTTAACATGTTTACTTTATGAAGTATTTCTCTTTATCTGATTTTTTCCTTTAATTCTATTTTGCATCATATTGAAATTGTTATCCTGTCTTTTCGTTCATCCCTTCCCACTATATAGTTTTCCACCCTTTTGCTTTCAAGTTTCTTCGTTTTTTTTTTTTGTATTAACTCTGTCTTCTATAGACAAAATATTGCTGGATCAATTTTTTTTTCCAATTTAAGATTCTCTCCTTTTGTTTGGTGAGTTCCATATATTTGTATTTATTATAACTTATTCTCTGGAATTTATGTCTCCCATTATTGTGAGCTGAATGTTTCTGTCCGCTCCAAACTCACGTGATGGAGCCTTGACTCCCGGTGAGGTAGTATTTGAGGCGGGTCCTCTGGGGGGTGATCAGGTTTAGATGAAGCCCTGAGGCTGGGGCCCTCGTGAGAAAAGGGAGAGACAGCAGAGCTCGCTACCCGCGAGCGCGGAGGAAGGGCCTTGTGAGGACGCCGCAAGGAGGTGGGCTCTCTGTCCCACAGCAAGCGGGCCTCCCCGAGCACTGCGTCCACGGTCCCCTTGGACTTGCCATCCTCTAGGCTGTGAGAAATAAAATCTAATAAAACGTCCGTGGTTTTAAGCCATGTAATTTGTGGTATTTTGTTATAGCAGACTGAGTAAGAAATCTTATTCTATTTTTTCCATTTACTACAGTTTGTTTCCTTCCTTTTTTCTCCTTTCCTGCTATCCAGAGAATAGATCAAATCTAGTGCTGCTGATTTGAAGGGTCCATTTAAAAAAAACCAACAAACATTTGTTTGGTGGTTACTCGTATGTTATTAAGACCTATATTTTCTAAGAGACATTTTCTCTATAATATTTAAAATACATCAATTGCTAAAATTAAGCATCCTTTCCCTTCTGTCACCATCACCAATCCCACCTCCTATTCTGATATTATCTAAAGTTTTCATTATTATCATCAACTCCTTTTGGGTCCTTTATCATTTAAATAACAGCAAACTTTACTGAGCCCATTACTTAGCCTTACTTCTTATATATTTGCAAACACGTAGCGCTCTCCTGAGTCCATGTCTCTTACCAGAATATTTTCTCCAAGAGTATTTTCAAAAAAATTTTTTTAAATAGTAAACCATTTGCAGTCTTATATGCCTCATACCTTTTATTTTACACTCATCTAAATGATAGAACTGAATATAAAAAAATAGGTTTAGAGTTCTCTGTTTCGACAATACAAAATTATTAAGCCGTTGGCGTTCTGAACCTGGGATTCTTACTGAGCTGACTCAAGTCAGTCTGAGTCTCCTTGCAGCTGATCTTTCACTCTGGTCCATCTTTATGATCTTAAATTTCACTGTAATGTGTCTAAGTGTGAGTTTTCCCTTCTCCATCCTGTCTGAAAGTCTGTCTGCTGTTTCGTTCTTAAGATTTTGATCTTCCTGTACTTGGAGGACTCATTCTTTTTTCAAAGATGCCCCCTTTCTATCATCTCTCTCCTACTGGAATCCCTAGTTAAGAAGTCTCATCACTTTTATTTCTTCTTCCACATACTATTGGTTTTTAGGAAAATTACAGGCCTCTCCAGAATGGAGATCGTACTTATCTTATAAAGAATAAAAAAGGTTATTACTTTTGTTATGAAAAGCTGCCTCTGTAGTAGCTACCAGCAACTGCAGTGCCCAAGCTCGCCACAAGAGGTCAGACAGCCACCAAGAAAACAAATACTGATTTTCCTTGTTTTTTTTAAAAGCTCTGCTGAGGAAACACGGTAGCTATACACCCCGAAACCCGAAACATTCCTGTGAATAATATTCACCTCTCATTTGAATGCTTAATCTGCAGTGTCGATAACAGGATTAGCGTATGAGCCAGCCTTCCCTGCATTTGCAATTTGAGACATAATAGGAATATTCCTGTCCCTCCTGGAATGCTAGCAATTCATAGCACAGATTCATACCAACCCCCTTAAGAATGAATGTTTTCAGGAGGCGCTAGGGTCAGCTCTCTCTTACTGGTAGTGTGACCTTAGACATGTTGCTGAAACTCCCTAAGCCTCTGGTCAGCCCCATTTAGAATATGGAGTTAATCATTGCTGCATAGGGTTAATGTGTGGAATCAGAGACCATGCCAGCACAGGTTAACGTTGGAAAAATACAGCCTTTGTTGTTTCTTCTTCTGTAAAATGTAAGAGTTGGTGAATGGGTCTCAAAATTCCCAACTGACATGAATATTCAGTGTTCAATGAAATTGCATTCACCCCTGGAGAAGGTCCAACTCAAAAAAGATGTTTCCGGGCCTTAACATTTTCTGGAAATTTTTATCAGACTGGTGTGATGGAAGCAGAAGAGCTTCTGCTCCTCAGACCTAAACCCTAGCTTTCAGGATGAACTCTCCCTTATCAGTTATGACTCAGGCAGTCTGCTTCGTCATTATCTCAGCCTCAGTTTACCCATCTACAAAACGGCACTGAAATAACTACCTCACAAGAAACGAGGGTTAACAAGATCATGGGTGTCGATCTCTTTGAATGCAGTAAGATACTGTTTATATCTGAACAACAGGCTTCATAGGACTTCCCCGGCATGGTTGAAAAAAAACAAATGAGATAATGAGTGTAAATTGATTAGCACAATACCTGGAATACATAGGAGCTTTAGATATGTAATAACAGAGCACCAATTAACAGCAAAGTCCCAGATGGTAAAAGTACAAATATTAAGGGTTGGAACTCACAGCAGTTGGAGAAGTGTCCGTCAGAGGTGGGCACATGCCTGGCATTGAAGTGTGACTCTTTTTTCATTAGGCTGGACACAAACGCCTGCTTCTGGGGCTCCACGGCGAGGTGGTACCTGTACGGGGAGCAGAATTAATGGAGGCTCTGGCTGGAGATAAATGAGCTACTCACTAACCCGTTCATCATTTTCCCCTTTGGAAATGGCCTCCCTCAATTCCTCTGTGCAGTCCAGGACCAGGCACAGAGACTGGGTAGAGGCCCTGCAAGGGGCTGCAAGGGGTCTTGGGGGTCTATGCCAGCCTCAGTGAAGGCCCAGGCTCCTCTGTTCCATACGATTCATGCATGTGCGTGTGTGTACATTCATATATAGAAAATCTCCCAAATTAAATGACAAGCTCCTTGACTTTAGTTCAGCACAAAGCACATCTTTATTGAGCTCCTGCAATGTGCCAGGCTGAGGAGTCAGAGACGAGATGGTGTGGCCCCTGCCCTTGACGGCCCGAGACACGAGGAGGCAGCCATCTTCCACACCATGTGGCAGGTGCCAGAGCAGAGATGCACAGGGTGCTTCGGGAGAGCACCAGAAGGCTGGTCGGGGGTCCAGGGAGGGGCCCTGGAGGAACGGGACTGAGCCGCCATGTGAGGGATGAGTTAACAGCCTGGCAAACTCAGAGGAGAGAGAAAGGAGGGCAGAGGGGACCGGGCAGGGGGACAGCCTCGGAGACATGCAAGCAGTCTGAGCAGTTTGGAGCTCTGGGTACCAGGGCACAGAGGCAACTGTGGCAGATGAAGCATGCCAGGCAGGCCGGGAGGCCATCCAGGATGCAGGGTGCCCTCTCTGAAGCTCCACACAGTGGGCTCCCCCGCCTGGTCACATCCTGCTCCCCCTACGTAACTGCTGGTTAATGAGCAAGGGGCTTCCTGGGGAGGCACGGGCAGGGCCACTGATCTCAGCCTCATCCCATGTGGGCTCAGCTCCCAGGTGGCCTACACAGAAGACGCAGCCCCTGGAAATGGCACAGGGTGGTCTGGTCTAAAGAGAACTCACCACATGTGCTGCAGAGGCTTTCTGACAGGTGTTGACGTGGAGAACCAGGTTTCAAATTGAGCAAGGGAAGGTGAAATGGAATTCACCAGCTACCTGGAGACTGCGAGGAACACAGTGCCGGCTGGGTCGTCCAGGCTTCTGCTGAGCTCCCTATCCGGCAGCTGGGCCTGCCCCCTGCGGGCTCAGGGTAGGCAGGGAGCCCACCCCCTGGGTGCAGGGTGGATGAAGCTCGCTCCCTCCCGAAAAGGCCACGAGCTCCTTTCCTGGCCTCGTGGTGGCCCGGGCCAACCGCACAGCCTGACGGCTGCTATAGGGAGCGGTTACGAGCTGCCACGAGCTAGCCCACGAGGCCAGCTGACCACTCGGCTGGACTGGAACACGAGACCAAAGCGGCGGGCGTCACCTAGCGAGCACAGGCCAGGGGAGGCTGCGGCGGCAGACGGGGGGTGGCGAGCCAAGGAAGGAGGTCGCCGAGCAGATGGCGTGGGGCACCGCTACTGGTCACACAGCGAAAACCAAAACAAAACCAAATTGCAGTTTGTTGGAAGCTGCTTTTTGTTTGGGGCCTTTTTTTTTTTTTCACCTATTCCAAAAGGAAAATATTGGCAGTGTTCCCTGCTCTGTAACCAAGTTCCCCAGGCACCTCCCAGGAGAGAGACAGAGGCCTGGTGGGTCCCAGCCAGTCCTTAAATGTTTCCGTGAGCTTATGTGCCTCCCTGTCTGCGAGGGGTTTGTTTAGCGGGGTAAAGCCTCTCTGGGCTCCCTCGAGTGGGACTGTTTATCATGGCAGCAGCTGGAGATAAGCTGGACACAAAGAAGGTTTGTGTCTCAGGAGGGTCAGGCCCTAGATACGGAAGGTGGAGGAATTTTCTCATTAGCAGGAGCCAGTGGTGAGGACCCCGGGCTGCCATCGTGCGCCCAGTGCAAACAGCAGCAGACAGGAGGGCAGGCGGGGGCTCTGAGCTTTCACAGGACGACTGAAATTAAAGTTTCCAGGGTAGATTTCTTTGGGAGAGTTGAAGGACATTAAATGCCATCTGCACTTACCAAGCTGTCAAGGGAAGGTGGACATCCATCCAGAGGGCTGTGTGGACTTATTACTTGTTCCCACTCACAGGGGGGCCACAGCGGGGAGTCCAGATGGGGCCCCTCAAACCCAGCAGGGGGCACTGCTGAGCATAGCCCCGGGGAACGTGAAGGCCAGAAGACACTGCTGAGTTATCATCAGCAGATACAGGCTGGATAGGGAGGCTCTGCGTGGAGACCCAACAGGAAGTGAAAGCACAGACAGTTCTAGAACATTCCCAGAATTCACTGACCTCAAAGGGATTCTGAAGTCTGAGAGTTAATTGACCAAGAAGAAATTCTGTTTGGAGCAGCATCTGAGGTGCAGTGCAGGATAATTCCATGAATTCTGAACACCAACTGGGTCCCCCGCAGTACATGAGCGCTTTGTTCCTGATGACCTCTGATGTGTTAGCTTCCTTCAGCACCCGCTGTGGACAGATTAAGCTCAGAGGAAAAACTCCCAGTTTGAATTCACATGCCCTGGCCCACACCGCCCCCTGCCCCCCCTCCACCCCGACACACACACCCCACCTTTGGTGCTTCCCTTGCATTTTCACATCCTGCTAACATAGCACGTTAGCATAACAGGGGGACAGGTGCGAAGGTGTCCTTACGATTGTTGGCATGCTAAGAGACAACCAGGTTACCCCTTTCCCACCAGTTACCCCTGTGCCCCAGGCAGCACTCAGCTCATGCAAGGCCTTGGATATAGTGTCTGAATAACTACGTCTTTGTACCCCAGCTACTAGCCCAACAGCTCAGCTTTTAAAAATGTGACCTATGCACATCCATTTTTACACTTTAAGATCTCCTCAAAAAATTTGTATACTATTTTTCGTGTTTGATCTTAGCCAAAAATAACCACTTTGCATAATAGGAGGAAAGGCATATTAAAAGCACATTTCACGCCCGAATGACCTCAGGGGCGGATCCTGAAGTCATCCGATGGGAGAGGCCACCCGGAGCATAGTCACTGGAGCTTGCGCCTGAAGAAGAGAGTTGCTGTTAAGTACTTTCAGCGCTTTATTCCCATGCGCGGGATGTGTTGGACTGGTTTTTGCTTTGCCTGCCTACTTCGAACAATGTGCTGAGCTACACCGCAGGGCAGGTGAGCGACCTTACAGAGGGGGTGTGGTCATCCCACACATCCTCTGAGAAGCATAGAGTGGAATCCGGTGCAGGAAAGCCTGGAGAATTGGCCTCATGCCTGAGACACCTCTGATGTGGAGACAGGGACCCGTGTGAGCTGTAGACTCCAACCCCGGCCACGGGGGCGAAAGACAGCACCCCACAGAGAGGTCCCATCCTTCCTCTTTGGAAATGTGTATGGTTTCTGCAAACACACTAAATGCCACTTTTCTTTCCCTGTCTCTTCTCCACTTTTCTTTTAAGGTGGTTAAAGGCACGGTCAATTCTCAGCTGTGTGAATCCTCTGGGTTCCTGGATGTGATCCCAGGAGCCTGAGGGCAGCAAGGGGATAAAGGGGCTTCGGTCCAGCACGGCGCCAGCCCACACTCGCTTGATAAGTGAGCGTCAGGGCTGCCAGTCTGGGAGAAACACCCAAGTCAGCAGCTCTGGGCATTTTCCTGCCATTTCCAGGTGACTTGGAACCTGAAGGCAGCCCTGGTCCCTTTCTAGAGATTTCTGCACGGGTGCACACAGCTCCATCCCCTCCTTAGCGGCACAGGCTGCAGACCCCAGGCTAACTCACTGCCTAGATGATCTGGGGGTCACGCAGTTCTTGCTTCCTCCTGAGGAGGGTCTTACCCTCACCCATCACGTTGGCATCCCTGGAGCAGCCGTAGATCGGGGAACACACGCAGGGGGCAGCTGAGAGGCGGTCTCCCTCACGGCCTGGGGTGGGAGGTCTGTCAGCCGCGCCCATCTTCCTCCCACCTCTCTGCTCGGGCCTCACACCTGACAGGTCAGCCTTGAGAAAAACCAACCACTCCCCATCAGCCCAGAGAAAAATACTCAAAACCAGCAAAAGCAAAGCACAGCATTTTATTGTGCAAGTTCCTTCTACCAGAAAATTACTAAAAATATAAATATAAAACCTCTAGAAAATACTCAGAATAGATCCATAATCTTCTTCCCCAAACTGGGGCCAAGCTTTGTTCTTTAAAAGTTGGTGGGTTACATACGCGCTTGTCGTTGTGTCACCCACACAGGCAACACAGACCCACCTTTCCCCATGCAGGGGAACAGGCCGACCTCCTGCCAGAATCTGGAATCTTCCCTTGAGATCTACCAGGGTAAAGCTCTGTACTGAACATGGGGACATGGGAGCTGGGGGTGTTAATGGGCAGAGAAAAGATTCTGTGGACACAGAAGACAGGTCTTTCGTTTTTCCTTGTCACCCTGCCCTGGCCCGGACGGGGCCACCTGACAGCCAAGCTCCCAGGAAAGCTGGGGTCACAGGGGGCACGTCATGGGACGGGAGGTGGGGGCGTGCTGCAATCACAGGAAGGCCAGGGTGTTGAGACAGACATGGGAAGCCCAGTGGGGCTTTGGCCTCCTGCGGGGTCGGGAGCCATCACTCCTGCCTGCCTGTGGGCACCACCTGGCCCTGAGCACCAGGCACTACCTGCAGCAGCTGCAAGCAGACCTCAGCCCGGGAGCCCCACCCGAGAACGGCCACACCCTTGCAGGAAGATGGCTGAGGTGGGGATCACAGGCTGGCCAGAGACGGAAGCAGGGCCCCACAGCCCCCTACTTAGTATTGGACTCCAGTCTGAGAAACTCGGGGGTCACCCTGGTGATGGTCCTGGGGCAGCCTGGTAAGATCCCTGGGCTAACCAGTCTGGGGGCCAGGACAGCAAGTGGCTGGGTCTGGAGAACAAGGTGTTGAAGCCAGCCTGGGCCTGCAACCTCTGAGCCAATGGCAATCACCCGGCCAGGCCATCCTGGTCTCTGCCAGAAAGCTGCCACGGAGGGCAGGGACCTGCTAAGTTTCCCATCACAGAAGCAAACCAAACTACTGGACGGGAGCTCAGATGAAACTGGGGTAGCTCCCAGCAGGCGTATTTAGGTTCTCTCTCCCTACTCCCAGCTCTTATTTTGTGCAAAATCCCAAGTCATTCTTGGGATTCTTGGAAAACTCACAGGCCCCCAAATGCTAGTCCTGAGAGCTTGTGAACAGGGTCACATATCATGCCTTTGTGATGTTCTTGGGAGTCAGGCGGGATCTACATCCAGTAACAGCCCTTCTCCCCTCGCCAGGGCCTTCAGGAGCCCAGCACACGTGTGCCCTCGCGGGAAAGGGGAGAGAGGTTCTGCTGTGAGTGCGTGTTGAAGCC